GAGCTTGATTTTAGAAATTCAGTCATGTTGTACATTTGTTTGGCTTGAAAAAGAGTGAGTTATATGTTGAAGATGACCCCCCGCGTCTAGTGGCTATTGGTCGAGTTTTTGAGGGTGGCTTAACCATCCATGGTGTCCCTCTACTAGAAGACTGGACATGGGTAGTAGTTGATGAAATTCATGATGTTGATGCTCCATTGCCTTTTTCTAATGAAGAGATTCAACTTGTTAGAAAAGGAGGCTGAGATTAAGAGGGGGGGTGAATTGATCTTTGAAATATTTTCGCAAATTACAGATTATCTATTTCAAAGATTAAGAGTTCTGACCAATTCTTGAATCAAACAGAACAAACAATCAAAATACAGGCAACAACAGAATTAAAGAGAGAAAGGTTTAGAAAGATACAACCAAGATTTATACTGGTTCACCCAATCCCAGGGCTACGTCCAGTTCCCAGCCAAATTCCAACTGAGTTCCACTAGATTGAATATTTTACAGATTACAATTCCAATCACACACCCAATCTACCACAAGAACCAAAATTCCAGTTCTTGCACCTAAACCTTCACCAAGAACCAACTTCCAATTCTTGAACAACCCTGCAGCCAAATTCCAGCCACAGAAACCAGTGTCCACACTTCCAGACACCCACAATACAGTAAGGAAAATTAAAGAAACAAAGAGAAGAAACTAGAACACTCAAACCCGGTTTATGCATCTCTGCAGAATAAGTTTCTTCACCAAAAGAATGCAAAATTTGCCTCAAGAAAGAACTTCGAAAAACTTCACAAAACTTGTGTGATTCTTTCTTGAAAGTAGCTCTTATGATTGCTTGATTGATTGCTCAAAGGTATATTTTAAAAGACTCAAGCAATCTTGTTTATATAAAAGATTGTTCAAACTACTAGTTTAATTAATATGTTAAAACAATCTTTTAATCTGTTAAAAGTCTTGAATTAATTTGTTAAAACTTCTTTTAATCTGTTAAAATGTTCTTGATCATTTTCCGGATTTGTTTTAAGCTGATGCGACATCATTTCAATCGATTAAAACACTTTGTAAAAAATCTCTTAAGTTGTTTTAATCGATTAATTCTACTTTTAATCGATTAAAATACTGCCAAATATTTTCATAAAACTTTCTAAGTGATTTTAAGCGATAAAAATCTGCTTTAATCGATTAAAACATTTTGGAAAAAATTCTCTTAGTTGTTTTAATCAATTAATTCGCATTTTAATCGATTAAAATCCTGCCAAATAGTTTCATAAAATTTTCTAAGTTATTTTAACTGATAACACATCGATTAAAATCCTGACAAAACTTCTTTCAAAACCTTTCAAGTGGTTTTAATCGATTAATTCGCATTTACATCGATTAAAATACTGACAGAACATCTTTCAAAACACTTCAAGTTATTTTAATCGATTATTTCGAGTTTGTATCGGTTAAAAAACTGTCAGAACATTTTTCAAAACATCTTAAGTCATTTTAATCGATTATTTCGATTCTACATCGGTTAAAATAATGGCGAAGGTTTTCAAAAGCTCCTTTAATGAAAACAATTGATTAATTTGAAGATATATCGATTAAAACAGTTCCAGTGAATGTCTTAAAAGGTTTTAATCGATTATTTTGAAAACATATCAGTTAAAAACCTGTTATACAAGTGTTAAAAACATTTTAACTGATAAAGCTCATATAATATCAGTTAAAACAATTGTTTAAAAACCATTTAACCGATTACTTTGGTTTTTAACAGATAAACATGTTTAGAGGCATTTACAAAATCTTTTAAATGATGAAACCTCATGAAGCAAAGAGATAAGAATGATTATACCTATGTATAGACGCAGACTCACTAATCACTCTACCCTTTTAACCAAGAACCTTTGACTTCAACAGAATAACCTTTTGACTTCATTTTGACTTCATCAAATCAACAAGATCTTCGTTTAATCAAATGATTCAATTAAGATCTTCATCACTTTCAGTCTCCCCCTATTTGATGAAGACAAACATCTCTTTGAATAATATCTCTACAAAAGAAGTTACTTGAATATATAGATTAGTGAGTATTCAAAAATTAATCATTTCTCCCCCTAGATTACTACTCCCCCTAAAATAGTGAGTATATAAAAAACAATCATTTCTCCCCCTTTGACTTCATCAAAATAGGGAATAGAGAAGCAAAACAAACACTATGCATGGCATTTAAACAAATTTATTTTAAAATTATATGAAATCATGATACCATGTAGATGTATTACTCTTTTAAAAACAAATTAAAGTTGATTCAAACTTATTTTCATTAACAAGTTTGTAATTAATACAATAGACACGTGTAAAGATAAGGGAACCATGCTTTAGTAGCATGTTACAAGAACAGACATTAACTAAAGCCTTTAATTTTCTTTCCAGAGTAATAATCGATTAAAAATAGGACATAATCGATACAAATAATGTTTTAATCGATTAAAATAGTAATGAAAGTTGAAATCTAAAAACTTAAGTTCATTTAATCAATTAAATCGACATTTAATCGATTAAAATTGTATGAAAAAGTTTTGTATAAGTGCTTTTAATCTATTAAAGCTCATTTTTATCAATTAAAACAACCAGATTTGAAAACTAAGTGATGTTTGATGCATCTAAAATGCCTAATTTAGTTCAGAATTTTGTAAAAAACAATTAGAAAGATGTTTTAAGATAATGTCAACTAGATTGATTAAGATTTAACCAAAAGATAGAGCAAAATCAGAATAGCATCTTATCTAGTTGATTTAACTAATGTAAACTAATTTTAGTTGATATAGATTCATGATTTACAGCTTTTAATTGATTAATACGCGAATTAATCGATTATAATGGTACGAATTTCCTATGTAAATGTTTCTTTTAATTGATTTAATCAATTTTGTATCAGCTAAAAATATCAGAAATGCGTTTTTGATTCTATCTAAGCTCTCTTAATTCAAATAAAAACCTGCATCATATTAAGAAAAGTTAAAGGATTGTTTCTGGTTTAAGATCAATTAATATTATAGTCTAAAATAAAAGTAGCAGTAAAAGAAACATGACATAAAGAAAGAAAAAAGATTATGATAGAAAGGGACCCTTGTTGTCAAAACTCAATCATCCCAAATTCCTTGATTGAGCTGCATGTCTTCCAATTTGGTATAGATATCAGCAATCTGATTTCCCATGTTTGTGAAATGTGTGTTGGTCTGCTGGAAGTGTTGATAAGTCATTTGCATGTGCTTCCTCTGATTTTCTTGCAATGAGGACATTTGAGAAAGCATAGTCCTTTCAAATTATGAAAGTGGAGTCTCATGGTCAGGCTGTTCTATGTAGGGTATTATCTCCATATTCTCATATGAAGCCTCCCTACCAGTGGACTCGGGAACTTCAGCAGCTGGAGGAGAAGAAATTTGGTCAGCTTCTTCTTCATCTTCATCCTCATCTCCAGACATTCCAACATCAATTTTTGATATCCATTCATCATCAATTTTGATAAACCCCATTTTCCTTAGAGTGGAGTCATCAATTTCATTTGAAGCTTTAGAGGTCTCCACACTTTCTCCTGAAAGATCAACTTCAAAATATCTAAAGAAATTGTTAATCAACATGGTATATGACAGTTTGTAATCGGACAACCTTTTTGCTTTCAACATGTGATCCTTGATTACATAAACCCAGTTGACCCGAATATTATTTGAAATGCAGTACATGAGAGCAAGGTCACCCTCATTTAGCAAAGCATGATTACTCCCCCTAGGAGTGAGAACCCACGCAACAATGAAAGCCAACAGCCTAGGTTCAAGCAACAGTTTTTTAGCATTTAAAATTCTTACCGAATCATTTGGGTTTTTGAGACAGGACTTGAAAAATTGAATTTTGTTGAAGTATGGAATTTTAGAGATGTTTCCTCTGGATACTTTAACACCACTATCCTTGAGGCCAACAACTTGTTCCTAAACAGAAGGAGTGATTTCCATATTAACTCCTCTCACCTGAGATTTGATTGTAGACCCATTCACAGTTAGATTGGAATAGAAAACACGAACCAAATCAGGTTGAATATTCCCAGTATACTCCATGAAGGTCCTTAGTTTTTGACTTTTTCAGCTTTCTTCTTAGAGCTGTAAATCCTTCTTAATCAATTAAAACAACTATACTAAAAATCCTGACAGCATTTTAATCGATTAATTCTTATTTTAATCGATTAAAACTGTAGGGAAAAATTTCTGGTATTCTCTGTAAGTGAAATTAATCGATTAAAACAGTTTTATATCAATTAAAATACTCAGTTCATGAATCCAGAATCGAAATTTGCTGATTGGGTACCAAAGAACTTCCAGATTTTGTTCCTGCAAAACATATTTAACATATATCTGGTACCCTTTTTATAATCATTGGGTCCAATCAAGTTATTTGAAATGAATTCTTGGGAATCCACTTCATTCTACCTTTTGGTATAGCATACTTCTTGATTTTACAAAATTTAACAGAATGTCCTCTTTTCATACAATAAAAACATGTAATAAATGGTGACGAAGCAGATTTACTGTATGCAAAATAGTTTTTAAATGCTGTAGTTTTCTTTCCAACAAGAGGTGTAAAACCAATACCACCACGATCAATAACCAACTTTTGAGAATCAAGTATAACATCAAGACTGATTTTTCCTTGTGCAAGTTTAGATGCAGTTTTTATTAAATATGCTAATTTCTTTTGTAACTCAGGACAATTTTCACAATCTTTTTTTATCATTACACATGCAATCAAAATTATTACCTATTTCCTGATTTTCATTCTTAGTTTCTTTATCAAGAATTTCCTTTTCAAGAAGAATGATTTTGTTTTCTAATAAACTATTCATGCTTTTTAATCTTTTGTTTTCAATTTCTAATTTCTTAGCTACTGCATGCATTTCACAAAAAGAATCTTGTAATGAATTGTAATTCATAGTAGTTTTTGAAGAATCAGAACTTACACTGGACATGGGTGAATTCAAATTGAACATCAAACACATCTTTGTTGTTTCTTCATAAGCCATTTCAAGAGTTTTCCACATCTGTGCAGCAGTCTGACAATGAGATACCCTGAAAAATTCATTTTTGTTAAGTGCGGATGTGATGATATTCTTAGTAGTACAGTCATCTTGAATTTGTTTCTTTTCATAATCATTCAAACTAGATCATTCTCTGTTAAAAACATAAGAGCCCTGTTCAATAATATTCCAAACATTTATATGAACAGATTCAATAAAGATCTTCATTCTTATCTTCCAAAATGAATAATGTGTACCACAAAACAGTGGAGGTCTATCAATACAAGCACCCTCAGAAAAATTATTTTTAGCCATTTGGATCGAAAGACTTGAGTAAATTTCAAGAACCTTGCTCTTGATACTAATTGTTAGAAAAGGAGGCTGAGATCAAGATGGGGGTGAATTGATCTTTGAAAGATTTTCGCAAATTACAGATTATCTATTTCAAAGATTAAGAGTTCTGACCAATTCTTGAATCAAACAGAACAAACAATCAAAATACAGGCAACAACAGAATTAAAGAGAGAAAGGTTTAGAAAGATACAACCAAGATTTATACTGGTTCACCCAATCCCAGAGCTACGTCCAGTTCCCAGCCAAATTCCAGCTGAGTTCCACTAGATTGAATGTTTTACAGATTACAATTCCAATCACTCACCCAATCTACCACAAGAACCAAAATTCCAGTTCTTGCACCTAAACCTTCACCAAGAACCAACTTCCAGTTCTTGAACAACCCTACAACCAAATTCCAGCCACAGAGACCAGTGTCCACACTTCTAGACAGACTAAATTTATATATATATATATATATATATATATATATATATTTATAAATTGTCCATTTTCTCTTTTCTACTCTTATAATTATATTAATGTTTAATTAATTGTTATCATTTGTTTAGGAGGACTTGCGTCATACTAAGCATATGAAACAACCTATTATTGATGAGGACATGACGAGAATGTGAGGATGATCTCATCTCTATGTTGTTGACCATATTACCACGGTTGAGGAAGAAACTGTGTCAGATATAGTGGGAGACTAGAGTGTTTGGAATTGACAATTCAATTGTTCCATTATACATTTCCTTGCCCGATGCATTAGAAATTGTTGGGGGAAACTGCATGTTAAACATTTCCATCATAAGATTGTGGGCAATGTAAGTCATTTTCATTTATGTTTCTAAGATTATAATAATTATATTCAACTTACAATTCATTGTTTTAGGTACATTGACAAATTGAGTGTGGAACAACAAAAATCTGAAGTATATGAATTTATTGAGCCTCAATCCATCCAAAAAGTTGAAAATACAAAGGTCGGAATCCAATAATATATGCAAACATGGATGAGTGACTCAAAAAGACATATATATTTGGCTCCATACATTGAAGGGTTAGTATTTTAATTTGTATTTTTGTCATCATGCTAATTTGTATTTTAATTTGTATTTTTATAACTAATTTTTATGTCATGTAATGTAGGTCCCATTAGCAGTTAATTGTAAAAATGCCCTAGGATTACACTATGGTGTGGTTTTGTTCATTGCACTCAAACCGAGTCAAGAAATGAAAAGTTTGTTACAAGGGTGACTTTATCTTTTATTCATTAATTATGTTTTCAAATTGTAAATATATATTGAATAATATATGACTTTTTTTCAATTAGAATCGTGTATGGAACTAATGTTCTAAGTGGAAGACCAAGAACAAAGAATTTGCAGTTCATTTATCCTAAGGCTAGAAACTTATTTATATAAGTGAACACCATAATTATTGTTTGTATTTAAATTTTGAAAATAACATTATGTTTTATTCATCATTTTAGTGTAATAAGCAAACAGACTCATTTGAATGTGGTTACTATGTCATGTATTAGATGAGAGTCATAGTTTGTGCGGGTATAATTGATTCTTAGACGGAGGTAATTGCTTTCAATATTAGTTAAGTTTATTTAACTTTATGCGTGTTGCATGTTTACAAGAGTCAAATTAATGTTTCATGTATTTCAAGATTCATCTCCATTGTCAGAATATGATATCACACAAATTAGAGAACAATGGGCAAGGTTTTTTCTTCAGCAATTCTAGTACTTAGTTTGTAGGTTATTGTTGGTATTATATTGTGTATATTATGTAGTTTAGGTAGCTTAGTTTGTACTAACTTTTAGTTTGTATTAACTTTTAGTTTGTAATAGATTTTAGTTTATAGATTATTGTTTGTATTATATTATTTTATTATGTAGTTTAGGTAGTTTTGGTGTATTAATTTAACTTTTGTAGTTTGAATTATATATAATATTATATTTTTTATTTACTAGCTAAAGAAACTTGAACCCCTGAACTGTCTGATTATAATATATGTTTGCAGGTTTTTGATATAAGACAAGATAAACCCAATATTAAAAAAAAGAGTAAATTTACGTTGCATATATTAATATGCGACGTAAATTTCGTCCAATTTTTTTAATTTTCAAAGTTTTTTATGTTTGTTTAGTGATATATACAACATAGATTAACGTTGGATATCGATAATCGACATAAATTTACGTCGCATAAAGGGACCAACGTAAATGTACATCTTCCATTTTAACGTTAATTTATGTGCGATGTAAAAAGTCCAAAATAAATTATGTAAAAGACCACTAGTGATAGTAATTTTTTTTTCCTCATTGAAACAAATCTATATGTGGCATGAAAGGTTTCTTAGAAATAAATTTTGTATGTTGTACAGATATAATTACTTATTAATGAAATCTTATTTTATAGTTTTTATTTTAAAAAAATATATTAACATTTTAATTCAAACAAAATCAAGTGAAAAATTACAAATATATGAGTTACTTAAAACTTTTTCACCGTTGAAACAAATTCGTTTATGAATTAATAATATGATATTGTGAACACGGTTTATATTTTTTTTAAAATATACCGTAAAATACTCCAAGCGTGAATATTTTTTTATTTGATAGCATTATTAACAACTCAATTCTACGTTAACTATGATGTGATCCATTATGACATAACGTGGTGTAATGTGATACGTGATCCAGAATAATATATATATATATATATATATATATATATATATATATATTATAAATCAATAATTATGATTTAAATAAATATACTCTTATTTATTATCAATTATTATAACTATAAATTATAAATTATATCTAGACAGAGGACTAATAGGAATTTTGTATAAATAATTATTAATATTTTAAAATATAGTTGCATATTAATAAAAATTATTTATATTAAATATTTGTTAAATATTATAATTTTTAATATATAACTATACAAATCACTTTTAAAAGTATAAAATATTTATAATAATAATAATTTATAGAATCATTTTATAAATTAATATAAAAAATGTTTGTATAATAATTTTTGTCATATTATACAAAATATATACTATTTTTAATTATTAAATATAAATGAAAAATAATCATTTAAATGAATTTTTAAAAATTAAAAGTAAAAATATAATTATTCTACTATAATTATACAATTTTTTTTACATATATAATTTACTGTCATAAAATATTTTTAATAAATAATAATAATAATATTATTATATTTCATTTTATTTCATATAGTATAGTATATTTCTGTATACATTGTATACAATATGAATTACTTTAAAATTTACGTATAGTTTACCTTAATTATTTGAATAAAAAATAATAATTTTCTTAAACAGTATTTTTTTCACTAACATTTAAATTTAATAATTTTTTAAATCTAATTATTTCAATACTTAAAATTATTCAAAATATTACTTATAACTTCAAATATTATGAAATAATATTTTATTTTTGTTGGAAATATCTTAAACTATTTAATGATTTTATATTTCAAAATGACATCAACATGTTCCTTAATTGTAATATTAAATATAATATAACATTTAATCTAATAGTAATAGGAAAGACATTTAAAGTTCTGTACTATGTAGATTATTTATATTCACAATTGTTATACTCAACATTTAAATGATATGGAAATAAATATTCATCATCACTTGAAAATTTAGGCAGTATTTGATTTGAATTTGTATATAATTCATTTAATTTTCATATTTTAAATTATTCAAAACTATTATTGATTATTATTTTATCATTTTATGGTTAAAGTTATAAAAGTATTTAAATATAAATATAAATATTTGTTTAAATATTTCTTAAGTTTTAAAAAGTTTTATATAATTTTATAAATATTTTAAATAAAATAAAATAATCTCTTAAGTTTACTTACCATAGGCCTATGAAGAAAAGCAAAACCCAGTTGATTTGAGTCAATTTGAAAGCTCAACAGGTTTCTCCAAAACAAAAAAAAAACCATGTCCTCTATCTCGCTGTGTAATTAGGTTAAATTCACTGTTCCTAAGCCAAACCCGACTTCAGTATAATTACGTTTCCTCAGTGTCTTCTATCAACAACCCGTTCACCAAAGTTCTTATTGCATTGTGGGGATTGCTTTCTGTGAGTGAGTAAATGGTGCCTAAGTTTCTTATTGCAACTGCATCATCATCATTCACAAGCTCCAAGAGCAGTCATTCCGTATTGGTTCTCTTCTGCATCACAAATACACAAGTTCACCTTTTTGTTTCAATTCATTCACTCCAACAATCACCATTTCTGATTCTGAATCAGATGAAAACCACCCGAAAGGCGACACCTTTACTGTCCCTTACCTCATCAACTCTAGTGGGATCTCCCCAACGCTGGCCAGGGAACTCTCCAACAAGGTCAATTTGAAAACCCCAGATGGCCCTGATGCTGTTATGGGTGTTCTCAACAACTACGGGTTCTCCAAAATCCAGGTTGCAAAACTTGTGGAGAAACACCCCTTGGTGCTTGTTGCTAAGGCAGAGAACACCCTGTTGCCTAAACTCGAGTTCTTACGTTCTATTGGAGTGTCCAACACTGACATGCCTAAGATCCTAATTGCTAACTACACCATCTTGTTAAGAAGCTTGGAAAAATTCCTCATTCCTCGTTTTGAGATCCTCCGGTGTGTACTTCGTGGTGATGGTGAAGTTGTTAGAGCATTGAAAAATACCCCATTTGGTTTTACATGTGGTGACACAGTGAATGATTTGGTTCCAAACATTGAGCTTTTGAAGCAATGTGGTGTGCCCCAAGCTTCTGTCTCTTACCTGATGATGCATGCTGGCGTTCTAGCCTACTGGGAGCATTCCAAATTTGTGGAAACTGTCAACACTGCTAAGGAATTTGGGTTTAATCCTTTGAGATTAAATTTCATTGTGGGTATTGAAATGCTTTTGACTAAGAGCAAAGCAACGTGGGAATCAAGGTTTGAGATTTATGAGAGGTGGGGATGGGACCGGGAAATTGCTCTTCAAGCATTTCGAAAGTTTCCCGGTGTTGTGAAGTTGTCAGAGGAGACGTTTACCAAGAAAATGAGTTTCCTAGTCAAGGAGATGGGTTATTCTTCAAAAGGTATTGCTGAATATCCTCTGGTTTTAGTGTACAACTTGGAGAAGAGGATTATCCCTAGATTCTCGGTCATCAAAATCTTGAAATCAAAAGGTCTTGTCGAGAAGAATGTACAGTTTAGTCTCATTGTTTGCATAACTGAAGAAATTTTTTTGGAGAGGTTCGCCGTCAATTTTCAGAAAGTTTTGCCTCAGTTGGCACATGTCTACAACAGTTTTATCGACAAACAGACTGTCATATAGTCTTTGAAGGTTTTTGCTGGTGATTGACTTAACTTTCATATTTTGTATTTCAGTACTAAATGGTCTTTGACTTTTGCTGGTTTTCACCTGAGTAATATTTTCCTTGGCTGTAGAGAATTTTGGTCAGATTTGTGGCATATGGATTTTATAATCAAGTATATAAATCCCTTTAGTGGTGATATTCAATTCCATGAATGGGTTTGTTTATTTCTGTAGATAAAGCACAACACATGAAAAGAAGAGTGCTATATTTTCTAGGCTGAGGGTAATTGGGATGGATTTTATCTTTGTTGTAGCCCTCTTTAAATGTTTATCTATTATCAGAACATTTGTTTTAGCTCAGTTGTCTGTACTGTTATCAGATTACCAGCCTATACTCTCTGCCATTCATTTTATCCAAAAGTCACATGATATAACACGCCTTGAAAATGCCATGGAGAAAGGCCTTGCTTATATGTTGGAGCTTGTAGAAGGAATCAATAACCAAAATTTATTGCAATGGAATCAAATTGTGTTTAATGTTAACCTTGCTATCATTACCACCATTTTTTACCAAAATGAATTCTGTAGCAGCCCCTTCAACTTAAAATTCTCACCATATCTTATTAGTGAACACTGCTATTTGGAGTCATGGATATGTATAGATTTGAACATTGTCAATTACTAGTAACGTTTAGGAATTTGACCAGACCAGTGTATGTAGTTATTTGAAACAGTTTTAGTCAGGAATTATTTAGAATAGCTAGGTGGTTACAGTTATAGATGTCGGAATTAGCTTAGGTAGGTAGTAGGAAAGGGTAGAAAAGTAGGCATTCTCATTTGCTTTTATTTGAGAAAACATTAGGATCTGCATTAGTACTCAGTGTGTTAATAAAACCAGAAACATCACTGCAATATCTGTACATTGAGTTTTCCTGCCCATTCTTCTCCCATTGTTATTCAACTACTCAATGAACCTACACAATACACAGCTTCAAATGACTTCTAAAATAATGTTGGAAGTTAAAGGCAAAAAAAAAAAAAGTTAAAATACATAATAAATTTATACAACATCGCATTTCTCTCTCTCTTTTTTTTTTCATTTTTACTTCCTAACTTTAAATTTCACGTATACAAAGAAAAATTCAGACTTATTGGTTCACTCTATAAATATTTATGATAGAAAATCTAAGATATGAACATTGGTAAGATTTTCAAAGAAAAAGTGGTTGTAATTTAAGGTTTAATACACTGCTTAAAAAAGTAACGATAAATATTGCATTTAAAAAAAAAATCTATAAAAAAATTTGAGAGTATTAGTGAATCATGATAATTTATAAGGAGAAAGTTAAATAATATATTATTAGTAAATAATAAATAAACTAGAAAAAAAATAAAAAGATTAAAAATGAGAAATTTGTAAATATAATAATCATTAAGTTTATGGGTGAAATGTAAATTATATTTGAAAATAACCATTAAATTTAAAGAATAAAAATCTTAAATCCCAAAATATTTGTCATTTTGTCATAATGAATAATTAATTCATCAACAAATTATCTATAAACAAAATCAGTATTTCACTGAAATTATGAATATTAATAAATTTAAAATTTTAAAAAATCATAATTATATATATATATATATATATATATATATTAAAATATATTTAAATTAAATATCTTTGTGATTATTTTATTTTAAGGTATAATATCTTAATTATTTTAAGATATTATATACAGAGGGTATACTATCTTAATTATTTTTCTCCATGAAATAAATTTATGATTCGGTAATAGTAAAAAAAAAAAAAAAAGTCTAATAATATCATCAACAAATTATACCCTATAACTATATCATATTTTTTTTTCGATAATAGTAATAAAAACTAAGAAGTCTAATAATATTAGCAACAAAATATATCTTATCTTTTCTTTCACTTGTTCGGTAGTAAAAAAAAAAAACTACTAGGACTAATAATATCATCAGCAAATTATATCCTATCTTTTCTTTCACTTTTTCGATAATAGTAAAACAAATTACTAAGTCTAATAATATCACCAAAAAATTATATCTTATTTTTTCTTTCACTTCTTCGATAATAGTAAAAAATAAAACTACTAAGTCTAATAATATCAGCAACAATTGATAACTATCATAATTATACCCTATCTTTCTTTTACTTCTTTGTTAATAGTACATTTTTTTATGATTCAAGTAATAGTAAATAAACCTATGAAGTATAATAATATGAACAACAAATTATACCCTATCTTTTCTTTCACTTCTTTACTTCTTTGGTAATAATAATAACAAAATACTAAGTCCAATAATATCAACGATAAACTATACCATATCTTTTCTTTCACTTCTTTCGTAATAGTAAAATAAAACTACTAAGTTTAATAATATTAGCAACAACTGATAACTCGTCATAACTATACCCTATCTTTTCTTTCACTTCTTCAAGTAATTGTAAAATTTTTTTATGATTTGGTAATAGTAAAAAAAACTAATAAGTCTAACAATATCAATAACAAACTATACCTTATCTTTGCTTTCACTTCTTTGGGAATACTAAAGTTTTTTTATGATTCGGTATTAGTAAAAAAAAAACTAATAAGTCTAATAATATCAAGAACAACCACTACAAGAAATTTTAATATTACCGACTGGTCAAAATCCGTCGCTAAATGTTTTATGAAATTACCGACTGACAGGAATCCTTCGGTAATATTTTTATTATTTATTAAATATTTTATTTATTATTTTCCCCTATTACATTTTTAAAGCCTTTAATTATTATTAGATTAAGAGAATTGTTATTAGCAGGATTCAATTCAAGTACCTTAGAGTTAGAGGTCGATACTCCAACCACTAAGCTACCAAAATTTTTTGATAATAATTTACAAATACATTATATTTATATATTTATATATTTGTATATTTATATATTTGTATATTTATATTTTTGTATATTTATATATTTATATATTTATATTTTATATATTTTATATATTTTTATATTTTTATATATATTTATATATTTATATATAATTAAATATTTATTTTTTAAAATTATTTAATTTAAGAAATTATTATAAATTAATCTAATTATGATTAAATTAAATTATTAAATAAAAAATATTTAATTTTTTAATTAGGTGAATATTTATTAATTGTTAATTTACCGACGGAAATATCCGTCTGTAATTTTCAGATGAATTTACCGACGGATATATTCGTCGGTAATTAATTGTTAATTCATCTGTAAATTATCGACGGATTTATCGACGGATATATCCGTTGGTAACTAATTATTATTTTACCGACGGATATATCCGTCGGTAAAATCAAATTCCACAAATATTTTATATCCGTCTGTAATTTCATCGTTAATAATTATTTTCTGATCGTTATAAATCCGTCTGTAAATATCCGATTCGTAATACGCGATTTTCTTGTAGAGAACTATACCCTATAATTCTATCCTATATTTTCTCTCTTCGGTAATAGTAAAAAAAATTACTAAGTCTAATAATATCAACAACAAACTATACCCTATCTTTTCTTTCACTTCTTCTATAATAGTAAAAAAACTACTAAGTCTAAAAATATCAGTAAAAAACTATATCCTATTATTTTTTTCACTTCTTCAGTAATAGTAAAAAAGAACTACCAATTCTAGTAATATCAGCAACAATTGACAACTATCATAACTATACCCTATCTTTTCTTTAACTTCTTCGGTAATAGTACATTTTTTTATGATTCAGTAATAGTAAAAGAAACTATGAAGTATAATAGTATGAACAATAAAGTATACCCTATCTTTTCTTTCACTTCTTCACTTCTTCGATAATAATAAAAAAAAACTACTAAGTCTAATAATATCAATAACAAATTATACCCTATCTTTTCTTTCACTTCTTCGGTAATAGTAATAAAAAACTACTAAATTTAATAATATCAACAACAACTGATAATTGTCATAACTATACTATCTTTTCTTTCACATCTTTGGTAATAATAATTTTTTTTTATGATTTGGTAATAGTAAAAAAAAATAATAAATCTAATAATATCAATAACAAACTATACCCTATCTTTGTTTTCAGTTCTTTGGGAGTAGTAAAGTTTTTTTATGATTCGGTATTAGTAAAAAATACTAATAAATCTAATAATATAAACAACAAAATATACTTTATCTTTTCTTTCACTTCTTCGGTAATAGGAAAAAAAATACTAAGTCTAATAATATCAGTAACAACTATACCTTATAATTCTACCCTATATTTTCTCTCTTCGGTAATAGTAAAAAAAATTACTAAGTCTAATAATATCAACAACAAACTATACCCTATTTGTTAGACAAATGACATCTAGAGGAGGGTGAATAGATGCACAAATTAAAATAGATGCCAAATTAAAAATTTATTTTAAGATGTCCAATATTTATTAATTCAATTTTAATTATCAAATTGAACAAAGATAAAGCGGAAGCAATATAATCAGATAGAGAAAATATCAACAAGATAGAGAAAGATAGAGATATAAATAAGGGTCGTAAGGAGAGTAATGCAGTGAAAAAGAGATAAGGGAAAGAGAAGAGCACAAAGTGATTTATACCAGTTTGGGTATAGTTAACCCTACATCAAGTTCCCAGTCAACTCTTAACACAAGAGTGACCCCAATTCACTATCTTTTAAATTTAGTTCACAAATTACAATCAACTCAGCAAAAAACAAACTAATTCAAAAGAAAATCACCTCCTTAGAAACCCACTAAGGATGAACACCCTCCTAGAATCCCACTAGGGATTAACACCTCCTATGAACAAATCAAAGGATGAACACACCTCCTTAGAATCCCACTAAGGATGAACACCTCCCTAGAATCCCACTAGGAATGAACACCTCCTCTGAACAAATCAAAGGATGAAAACACCTCCCTTAACAAATCAAAGGGATGAACAGTTTCCACATAGGAAACAAAAAAAAAACACAACAGAATGACAGTGA